TAAATGATAAAAATTTGATTATTGAACTTTGTATTCGATCATCGCCAATCGGTCCTATAAACGATCAATTATCGATTATACTCGATCATCGTTTAATCCCTACAACAAATTATCAAATTATGTTCTGCAAGAGGGCCATGATGGCCCTGAGGTCGCTCACCTGTATATAGCCCCCCCCCCCCCCCCGGGCCAATTTTTACCCAAGGGCTTTTATTTGTTTATTTGAACAAACTTGGTAGATACTCATAAGAAGATGTTTCATGCTAAACATCTTAGTTCTAGCTCATTGGGTTTTTTAAAAGAAGATTTTTTAAGTTTTTACTATACACATATAGTTAAAAAACAATGACACCCCTGGGGCAGGGCCAGTTTTGACCCCCGGGCTTTTATTTGAACAAACTTTGTAGATATTTACTTAAAGATGTTTTATGCTTAATATCTAAACTCTAGCTATTTGGGTTTTTTCAAAGAAGATTTTTAAGTTTTTGCTATACACATATAAGGAAAATCAATGACCCCCGGGGCGGGCCAGTTTTGACCCCAGGGCTTTTATTTGAACATACTTGGTAGACACTCATTAGAACATGTTTCATGCTAAATATCTAAGCTCTAGCTCTTTGGGTTCTATAAAAGAAGATTTTTTAAGTTTTTACTATATGCATATAGGGAAAATCAATGACCCCCCGGGGCGGGGCCAATTTTGACCCCAGGGCTTTTATTTGAGCAAACTTGGTAGACACTCACTAGAAGATGTTTCATGCTAAATATCTTAGCTCTAGCTCTTTGGGTTCTTTAAAAGAAGATTTTTTAAGTTTTTACTATATGCATATAGGGAAAATCTATGACCCCCTGGCGCGGGGCCAATTTTGACCCCAGGGCTTTTATTTGAACAAACTTGGTAGACACTCATTAGAAGATGTTTCATGCCAAATATCTAAGCTCTAGCTCTTAGGATTGTTTAAAAGAAGATATTTAAAGATTTTTCTTTCGGTTGCCATGGCAACCAGAGTTCTGTATGGAATTAAATTCTTTGAACAATTTTTATAGGTGACCACCAAAGGAACATTCCTGTGAAGTTTGGATGAAATTGGCTCAGTGGTTTATGAGGAGATGTCATTTAAAACAAAAGTTTACGGCCGGACGACGGACAAAATGCGATCACAAAAGCTCACCCTGACAGGTGAGCTAAAAATTGAGAAGAAATTTATTTGACATTTGAAGCTTTACAAAGTATTCTTGGGGAAAAAAAAGATTGACCTTATTGTCATCATGCCACAGTCTTAGATTTAAAGGGAACCGGGGGGGGGGGGGGGGGGGGGGGGGGGGGTCTCAATAAAATAATTTCAAGAGGGGAAGTGTCAAAGTCAAAGGGGGGGGGGGTAGTGAAGTATGAATTGTGGTGGTTTCGTCGAACTTGATTTTTATGAAGAGGTGCGAAAGTGGTTTGCGACCTTATGTTATATAGTAATTAAAGGCAATGTAGACATGGTTCATATATATAATGTGTTTTTATCATCAATATTTTGTTGTAATAGAAACTTTTAAATCAAAGTTTTATATATATAGAGTGGTGAATATCATAAAGACTTAAAACAGATTGTTGTTGTTTGTTACATAGAAATCATGATGCATTCTCTTTAATAATATGCATGTGTCAATTGTTTATATAGAGAAGAATAAAGTATTTGTAATGTGTGTTGTTTATAATAGTTTATTACATACGGGAATTTGTTTATGTTTTTTTTTGTATATATATTTAGATTATAAAATACAATTGTTAATTCTTTCTCTTAGTCCTGGCTAGTCGTACGTGACTCACGTACGGCTAGAACTTTTGGCTTCCTTTATTATATCAGGGCTCGACATTAACGGTTGTCCGACTGCCCGGGACAACTAAAAGTTTGGTCCGGGCAAGTTATTTTGAAAAGCACTTGTCCGACAGGGCAAGTGAAAATAAAAAGCATCATTGACAAAATGCATGTACAAAATGAATAGAAATAACATCTTTTCATTTATAAACATCTTTCAAACAAAATACACCATGAATCATTATCAATAATGTGAATATACTACGGTCATGTACATTTGTTGATATAGGAAACAGAAGGAAAAATATGAGCATGCGCCGCGGTAAGGTAATTCCCCGTTCTAATAATAGACTTTATCTAATTTTGTACAAGGTAATTCCCGTGTTAGCTGTTGTTTAAATTTTGATGTTTGCATGTAAAGATATCATTGAAAATATGTAAATAATCATATTGATCTTTAAATATAATTGTTAAATAAAGTTTTTGCATTTAAAATGATTTATTGTTTAATCTAATATAACAACATTATGAACACAACGAAGACTCGTTTACGGCTGTTGACTTGATGATTGAACGGGGAATTACCTTACCGCGGCGCATGCTCATATTTTTCCTTCCGTTTCCTATATCAACAAATGTACATGACCGTAGTATATTCACATTGAATAAACAGATGAACCCATGTTTTAGAAAAACTACTAAATACAAAAAATATTTGTGTCTAACTAACAATCAATTTCATTTATAAACAATATGTCCAGTTTATTACCTAATACAAGAAGTATTTAATAATGTATGAGCTTGTTTGTTTTTCTGATTTATACATTTTTACCATTTTTAGGTCAGGACAAGTAAGTCTTAGGTCAGGGCAAGTAGTTTTAACTAGAACTCCGCGAGTCGGATGTGTCGCCTTGTGAACAATGTAGTTTAGGGGAAATGGCGAGGACAAAAATGAAATATGAAAAATAACAAAGGGCAATAACTAAAAAAATAATAAGTGCAGAGCAGCAGTTTCTGTACACTGCACTTCTTATCAATAAGATCTATCATTCTATGATGTTTCAAGTAAATAGCTTTCATACTCGAGGAGAAATGACCAGGACAAAAATAAAGTAAGAAAATCAACAAAGGGCAATAACTCAAAAATAAGAAATGCAGAGTATCAGTTCTTATGCACTGCACTTCTTTTTAATGAGATCTATCATCCTATGAAGTTTCAAGTCCATAACTTTTATACTTTCGGAGAAATGGCCTGGACAAAAATTAAGTATGAAAATTAACAAAGGGCCATAACTCAAAAATTAAGAAATGCAGAGTACCGATTCTTGTGCACTGCACTTCTTAATAATGAGATCTATCATCCTATGAAGTTTCAAGTCCATAGCTTTTATACTTAAGGAGAAATGGCCCGAACAAAATTAAAGTATGAAAATAAACAAAGGGCAATAACTCAAAAAATAAGAAATGCAGAGTTCCAGTTCTTGTGCACTGCACTTCTTCTTAATGAGACCTATCATCCTATGAAGTTTCAAGTCCATGGCTTTTATACATCAGGAGAAATGGCCCGGACAAAAAATAAAGTATGAAAATTAACAAAGGGCAATAACTCAAAAAATTAGGAAGTGCAGAGTACTGGTTCTTGTGCACTGCACTTCTTAATAATGAGATCTATCATCCTATGAAGTTTCAAGTCCATAGCTTTTTTAGTTGAAGAGAAATGGCCCGGACAAAATTAAAGTATGAAAATTAACAAAGGGCAATAACTCAAAAAATAAGAACTGCAGAGTACCGGTCCTTGTGCACTGCACTTCGGGTTATTGAAAGAAGCATGCATACCAAGTTTGAAGTCAATCAGACTTATAGTGACTGAGTTATGCTCCGGACAAGCTTTAGGGGACGCCGACAACGACGACACCGCCGACGAAAGTAACCCCTATATGTCACCTTTTCAAGGCGACACAAAAACTACTTGCCCGACAGGACAACCTGATTCAAAAATTAATGTCTAGGCCTGTATATAAGATCAGTTCGCCGAACCGGTAGTTCAACGAAACCACTCTCACCCGTGAAGTATGCCCAGCAATCTCCTGGATTAGACCCCTATGTATTTTTCAAGTATAGAAACTTGTATATATTACACTAAAGAAAACCGGTCCTACTAAACACTGCTAAGGACCGCTAAGGACTGCTAAGGACCGCTAAGGACTGCTAAGGAGCCACAAAGGACTACTAAAGAGGCACAAAGGACCTCCTCAGGCCATTCTTATATTACATGGTTTATTTTTTAGTGAAAAAAAAAATATTTTTTTAAGAAAAAATATGATTTTGGTGAAAATTTTATGAGTTGTCGACGCTAAGGACTGCTCAGATACAAAAAAGACTGCTAGGGGGACACAAAGGACCTTAAAAATACCTCCTAGGGCATTCTTATAATACAAGGTAGTATGTTTAGTGACAAAAAAAATATTATTTTAAGAAAAAATATCATTTTAGTGATAAAATCATGTTTTTTGAAGAGTTGTCGGACCGCTAAGAACTGCTCAGGTGCACTAACAACTGCTAGGGATGCACAAAGGACCTTCAAATCCCTCCTAGAACATTCTTATAATATAAAGTAGTAAGTTAATAGACAAAAAAGTATTATTGTAAGAAAAAAATATGATTTTGGTGATAGAATTTATGCTTTTGATGAGTTGCCGGACCGCTAAGGACTGCTCAGGTGCGAAAAGGACTGCTAGACAGGCACAAAGACCTATAAATATTTCCTAGGGAGGCACAAAGGACCTTAAAATAACTGTTGGGGCCTTCTTATAATTTAATACCTTAATTCTTAAAAATAATACCATGTAATATAAGAATGGCCTAGGAGGTATTTTAAGGTCCTTTGTGCCTCTTTAGTAGTCCTTTGTGGCTCCTTAGCAGTCCTTAGCGGTCCTTAGCAGTGTTTAGTAGGACCCAAAGAAAACGGAATGAACCTTATAGAAATATACTCCTGGTTTAGACCCACGTATGCCCCCTATATTTTTTTCAAGTAAGTAAGTCTATAAACTGTGAATATTTCTTTTTGATCTGCTATTATCTTCAGCTAAATTAGATTGTTAAACATATCCGGTTTTAGTCAATCAAATTACGTAAATATTATTTATAAACCAAAAAGAAAACAGAAAAGTTTCAGAAAAGACCCATACTTACAAGAGGAACTACGGTCTCATCTGCCTTCTTCTTCCCAAGAATCTTTCCATCTTTGGTTACTTTAATGATCGTCATTGTAAAATTCAATGAAGGAAGTTCTACGAAATTGTCACAAAGACAAATAAATACAAAACGAATTCTCTAAAAATTTCTCTGTTGTGTACCTCCTATATTTTTTCAGGATATGACGTCACGGTCAATACAAATGTAAATTGTAATAATTTATTGAAAACGAAATTTAGTTCTTTTAAGCGGAAAGGGCCTAGATTACACGAAAAGAAATTATCATCAATTTAAAACGTATACTGTGCTCCTCTTAGTTCACGGTACTTAACGCTTTGAAACAAGGAAGAAAACAACACATGAAACTTATGGTAAAAAATTGCCATAATGTATAACATATATTTCTGCTGTATGACACAAGGAAAAAACAAAATATCCAGTCAAAGTCAGTTTGTATGTACCAAACGTAGACCATATATAAGCCATTTTGAAAATAATATATCATCATTTAAATCGCGGTAATTGTGTTACATTTCAGTTTTTTATTGTTTCAGTTAATATTTCTACATGATATTTTGCTTAATTTTAAATATTAAAAATATCTTTACTTTGTTACTCAAAATTTATTTTTTCAACAAACAAACATTTAGAAAATGATGATTGTTTCAGACCTACATGGTACTAGCATACGATGTAAAAAGTCTAGTTTTGACCAATAACCATGAGTAAAAATGATTAACAAGTTTTTTCTTTCTTTTTCTTTGTCTTTTGTTTCATGTTGTACAAATTTTATCATCACCTAATACAATTAGACCAAAAATACACGTACAGTTGTTTGACCGGTTCAGGCACAGGTTTTCAACTTTCGCTGTCTGCATACACATTAATTAACAAATTGTTCCAAGACCAAAGGTTTTTACTAGTAGATATTTGATTCTACTTCAAACCTAACAATTATCAGAAAATACATTTTTCTTATGAGAATACTTCTTGATTCAATCTGATTGGTTGCAGTTCCAGTGAACATAACAAACCATTTGTAATATCACCTACGAAGAGTAGGACCTACCTGGATCGACAGTGCCTCATTTTAATGCGTTTGAACAATTATGTATTCTAACACGACCCGCATTTTTCCCTATTGAACATAGATCTAGAACCGAAAGTGTGTGTTATTATGCTATAAAATCACTGTTTGACGTTCTATATTTAGACATGTGACGTAATCATTATACACGTGACGTAACCACTAAAAATGTGACGCGCTGACAATAAGTACGGAAACAAATCAGACGCAATTTAGCTAATTATCATGTACGGCAGCATTTATTTGTTGATGTCGTGTTAGAATCGAAATAATATATCCAAATCGATGATTTTATTGCTTGATAACATCACTGTTTGTCGTTCGGATGCGCATCATTATATCACTCGGGCTGCGCCCTCGTGATATAATTCCCCGCATCCGAACTCCAAACAGTGATGTTATTGAGCAATAAAATCACAGTTTGGAATATATTATTTCTTAAATTGAAATTATGTACATGGCAGTTTTACTCAACTTGCATGTTACAGTTATGGCCGAGGGGAGTTCAATACTAACAGAAAACCACGGCGATGTGTTTTGAAAAAAAAAATAACATGAACTCAAGACTCTGTGCACTGTGTAAGATAATATTTGTAAACAAAATACAAGTAGATGTCTAATTGCTAAACGACTGGTATTGACTGGTATTAATGTACTGTTTGAACCAAATATGATTGATAATTGATTAGCTTTAACCATTGTGTGAATTACTGTTCTTGCATGTAATATATGACAACTGTACATACTCTATGCAATCTGAAGTCAGCATTTCACCCTTTAAGTTTGATGCACCGATCTATGTAAAAACTTATTTTCATGTGCCAAAATAATATGCACTAGTTGTCCTTTTCTTTCAGTTTACATACAAATAACATGTACCGATATACGAGGGTTGTTCAAAAAGTAATTAGACTAAGAGTCTTGCATCTTCATATTCAATTCAATTTAGAATATATTTATATGTACAGCGATCGAAAAATGTTTTCTTCAATTTAAGCATAAAAATATTGAATTCGTGTGCTTAACGCGTGTTCCCTGTGTTATTGAATAACCATGGTAACACGCACCCGGCGCAGCACATAAAAAAAGTTATTGAAGCTTAGTTGAACTTCTATTTTATTCATAATTTATTTTCTTTTTTCCCCCATTTATTCCACCAACACAATTTTTTATATTGTCAGGCCGGTTCCGAGTCAGGATTATAAAAATAGTTGCAACAAATTTGTAAAATTAACAAATTCTTTTAATTTTTTTATATCACTCAAATAATGAAATTTATTTGACAATCAATGATAAACAAATACATGTAATAAATAGAATAAATATTACTTAAAATACCTTAATATCTTTATCTTTCATTTTTAATTCTGTTATTCGATTTACAGCTTTTATCTTTCTGTTATCAATTTTAGTCATCTTTTCCGTTATCTTTTCCGTTATGACCCTTTAATTGAAATTCGGTCTATTTATATGCTTCTTTTGTGTACATATGACGTCAAAATGAAAGTAGGGTTTCCCGTAAAAACTGGGTTAATGTGACGTCACAATATAATTATAGTTAACAAAATGGCGGACTAATTTCAAACAATATTTTGATTATGAAGAAAAGTGACATATATAAGAATATATAAACAATCAATCATGACAGGATATAAATGAAAGTTAATTTAAAGATGAGACAATAAAGTTATGTTTAAATGTTATCGCTGAATATCGTATCAGCATGGTAAACAAATGCGGTCAATGAAACGGAGTGGGTGGGGAACAGCCTAGCACTATTTAAGTGAGTCTGACATTATGCCCAAAGTTGACGTCATTCAGACATAAAATGGCTAAATCATCAAGTTTTGAACAGCAGGGATCATAACGTGAAATGTAGAAATTTGACGTTCGTTAAAAAACTGAAAATGTGTGCGATCGTTAAACTTTGCCAACAAATTGGCGATACTCCTTCAGATACATGTAAATACATAAAATTAACACAGTACAATTAATCGGCTATCATGATACTAGCTAGTTCTCAGCTTGCGCAAGCAATTCAAAAACTGCACATACGAAATCACAAACAGGAAAGGATGAGAATGATAGCGGGAAATTGATGAGACGTTAGTGACGTCAACGGTCAAATGAAAAAGCGCAACAAAATGATCGTACCAATAACCAATAGAAATGGCGAGCTGAACTTAAACATTTTTGCCTGTTGTAGATCTAATGATCGGACAAAACATATAAGCCGAAAAAGAATGGTGACTTAATTATTTATTCGTTAATGTCAGATAACAACAAAACCACGATATTTTATCTATTTTATATATTTATTGTCGCACATGTCGATTACGTAAATGCATGGTTCGCATGATTGTTCGGAACTGGTCAATGCGCCGAAACCATCAGTCAAAACCCTGCAGATGTCATATTAAATGCAATAGATTTCTGAATGTTTACTATTAAAACCCAAAATAAAACAATTCTATTTGCTTAAAGAGGTCTTCAAAAAGTCTTATAATAAAATAAATATCGATACTGATTAATAAACCCGCAAAATCAACGATTAAAAAAATGTGACGGAAACTGCTTCTGTTGTGGATCAATTAGGGCTAATTTACACATCCCGTTGGAGCCCCATTTGTGATGCGCATGTCTAATTCACGAATCCGGTTTTTATTTACAATAAGAATGTATTTAGTCGTATCAAAAGTTTATTTAAATCAGAGACGTTATTTTTTTTTTAATTAACCTCATATTTTTAACGGAAACTGCTTCGATACCAGTATATTTACAGAAATTATTTCTATGGTGACACTACACGATATGATGTTAATAAATTTAATGTAAAATAGTCTGACCAGTGTGACCAGGGTCTTTCAAATATTTCTGTTGTGAACTTGTGACCCTTCTTACTCTATGTATAATTTCAGCATCGTCATAATTATTTTAGAATTTGTAAATACTCATTTATTGAACTTAAATTTGCCAGTCATCAGATAATAATCAGGATAATACTTGTTGATTTTGAAACCAAATATTATTTTGAAGTTTATTCAAGCATGAAAATCATTCACTCATTTCCACGTAAAAGTAACAAAAATTACAGTTAAGCAATGGACACTATTGCGTTGAATTATTTTAAAATGCTAAATTGGTGAATGCGACACACCCATCCATTGCATACACGACTGAATAAGACACAATGATTATAATCTATTCATTTTTTATCAGTACTTGATACATTCGAACTCGGTTATAGCGAATTCGCCGGACCAGACTTTTTAAAATCATATCCGAAGTTTGTGATAACTATTTAATGGATATAGGTATATTTTTTATAAACAGCTTATATGACTCGATATTTAATTCAATAAGATGATTATGTCAACCTGTCATTCCATTCAGCGACCACATGTCAGTCCAACATATAACGCCGACTTTATAATATTCCATTAGATATGTTGCCAGCTATTAGTGATCATTCAGTAATATTTTGATAGTTGTCAGCTTAAAGAAGTCATTCAAGACAAATGTCATCCAATAAGACTTTGTTGCCAGTTTCCAGTTAAATACAATGTTGTTGCCAGTGACCACAGGTCGTTAAAAACAATGTTGATGCCAGTGAATAGAGGTTGTTAAATATAATGTTGTTGCCAGTGACCAGAGGTCATTAAATACAATGTTATTGCCAGTAACCAGAGGTCGTTGAATACAATGTTGTTGCCAGTGACCAGAGGTCGTTAAATACAACGTTATTGCCACTGACCAGAGGTCGTTGAATACTTTGTTGTTGCCAGTAACCAGAGGTCGCTGAATACAATGTTATTGGCAGTGACCTGAGGTCGTTGAATACAATGTTGTTGTGAGTGACCAGAGGTCGTTAAATACAACGTTGTTGCCACTGACCAGAGGTCGTTGAATACTTTGTTGTTGCCAGTGACCTGAGGTCGTTGAATACAAGTTGTTGCCGGTGACTACAGGTCGTTGAATACAAGTTGTTGCCGGTGACTACAGGTCGTTGAATACAAGTTGTTGCCAGTGACCAGAGGTCCTTAAATACAATGTTGTTGCCAGTGACCAGAGGTCGTTGAATACCATGTTGTTGCCAGTGACCAGTGATCGTCAAATACAATGTTGTTGCTAGTGACCAGAGGTCATTCAATGAAACTTTGTTGTCTTGTTGCCAGTTATTATTAAAGTGGCACTATGCACATCAAGGAGTAAATGGTGAGTGTTAAGTTAAAGTTGAAATAACTTGACAATTTGTCATATTTGTTTTTAATTTTATAATAAACGCCAACAGGGTAAATTAATAATCCCGAAATTGTAAATATTTATAAGAATCCTCCGAAAAAATATCGGTAATGATCAATTTATAAATATGGCGAGGTAGTCATTTTTATTATAGCCAGTTTTTATATTTTATCCTAATCATTTGTAATTATCAATTATTGTTCAATCACAATTACAATAGTCAATCTTTTGAAATATCAACAAAATTTTTCTGAGTTGACACTGAAACAAATAAGCATAACGTCACTTAAAAGTCACTCAATTAGATGTAACTAGTATTATCAGCGGTCAGCATCACTCTATGAAATGTTATTGTTAGCGACCAGGGTTCGTTCTATGAGATATCATTGCCAGCGGTCATGGCTCGTACTATGATATGCCATTGTCAGTTTGTTGTCAGAGTTCTGCGGTTGTTCTATAATTAAGATGTCGTTTTCAGCGTTCATGGGATGTCATCGTCAGAGGTCATTCTAAAAGTTTTCAGCCGTCTTTCTATGAGATGTCATTGCCAGCGGCAAGGATTTGTTCTAAGAGATGTCGATGTCAGAGGTCAGGGTCATTCTATGAGGGGTTATTGTCAGCGGTCAGGGGGGCGGGGACTTTTAATAGCTGTAATTTTCAGCGGTCGTTTATAAGACGTTGTTCTCGTTGACCAATGGTCATTCAAGAAGACTTTGAGGTCATGCAATTTGACATTTATATAATTTTACTTTATAAAAGCAAAAAATGGGAGATCTTTTATTTTTACCTGAGGATTGACATCGGTTAATTCAGAGATTTAACTCATAAGAAAAGTCCCTCTCTAACATGATTAATCAAGTTTGCATTATTTTGAAATTTCAATCATGCGTCAACGATAATTAGGATGGGGGGAATTTGTTGAGAATTATATAATCACTAACCGTGTTAAATAAATGTATATATATGAAACAACATCCGTCAGATAGGTAAAACATTTTCAAGTTTTCTGTTTTACAACTTGAGCTATGAATTCTTCAACTCGTTCATTACTTGCCGGGATATTTCTGCTTGCCTTAACGGGTATGTTTTCCGATATATGCATTTTGTAAAAAACATTCATTTTTTAAATATTTTATAAATAACAATTATTAACTAAACTAACTACATGTACAAAAAGATATGACTATTATCACCATTATATTATTATTATTATCGTCGTCGTCACCATCAGAACATCATCATCATCGATCATCATTATCACGTACAATTATCAACATCATTTATTATCATTACATGTATTATTATTATTATTATTATTATTATTATATTAATATATTATTATAATTATTATAATTATCATCATCATTGTTATTATTATATTATTATTATCATTATCATTATCATAATTATTATTATTATTATTTTTATCATTATTATTATTATTATTATTATCATCATCATCATCATTGTTATTATTATTTTTATTATTATTATTATTAATATTATTATTTCATCATTATTATCATCATCATCATCATCATCATTGTTATTATTATTTTTATTATTATTATCATTATTATTTCATCATTATTATCATCATCATCACCATCATCATCATCATTATTATTGTTTTTATTACAAAGAGCTTAACAGATATGCGTCAATGAAATGAAATAGTAAAGTTGTTGTTATTAATAAAATGGAAATCATAAAGAATGTTGTTTCAAAACAAATCAAAAGCTACTTATATTATCCTCATGCATTCAGCAACCAGTAAATGCACTCGTGCGTTCGTAAAATACATTTCACAATCGATATAATATGAAATTTTATGATAAGATCAAAATCAGTTGTTCAAATCTTAATTGACATGTACACCACCCTGTATTACTGGCACCGGATATGTATACCACACTGTATTACTGGCACCGGATATGTACAGCACACTGTATTACTGGCACCGGTGATGACAGATTTATACAATGATTACAGAAATCTAAAATTTACTGATTAACAACAAGAAGGTTATAATTCAGTTCCTCTTATTATATTACTCAAATAAGGTTAATTTTATTGCCATAAACTTACTGTCCACTGAGTAGAGACACTTCACGAACTCGTTTTCCCCATTTTGTAATATATTTTGAACAGGTTAAAAATGACATCCGTGAAAATGGTTATTTATTTTCTAATAAATATCTCAAGTTTGAAATAAATAAAGGGATTTCGTATTATACACATAACTCATCATAACGTAGGGTCATGCAAGCAAGGTTTCGTGCTCAAGGAAACCCATCGTCGGATACCCACGGCCGAACCATTAACATTTTTGATTGCATGTTATATAACATGTTTATCAATCGTGGGTATCCGACGATGAAGGAAACCCATCGTCGGATACCCACGGCCGAACCATTAACATTTACCAGCCGTGGGATTTTTAGCCGATATTCAGTCGATTAGAGGTGTATCAAAGGCAGCTATTTCATTGGCTGCCTCACGATTTCATGAGGCGATTAAAACCAATCAAGACGCTCGTTCTGTACGACGTTCGGTATTACAGACACTATTGCGACAACCATAGACGACGTGAATAGTTCAACATCGAAAAAATTAAACGATTTACAGCAAGAAAGTATAGATAATTTACTTTTACAGCGTGATATTTTCCTTTCTGATTGATAGCGAGCTCGACGAGCTGGCCCGAAGGGCCTGCTCGCAAAGCGAGCTTTACGGTAACGCGAGTACCTGCTAAGTGATGGTTTTGAAAACTTTCGTCCAAAGTACCGAATTGGACACATCGCAACCTTTCGAATTTAAAGATAACCATAAAAACTGAGGGATTCTGACTGAAAACGGATGTCTAGACTGGTCACCCGCGCACGTCTATGGGAACCATAATTGGACAGGGAACCAGAATAACGGAAGCTGTGTATAAAATTTCAATGATAAAATGAAAATCGAAGGCGCCATTTTGTTTGAAATCTGATAAATAAAAACAATTTTTTGTCGAATTTTGTTGTGAAAACTATCTAGAATGAAAGAAAATGGTCTAACTAAGGAAATGAATCCGAACACCAATATTTTTTATTCAGTCGTTAACGCTGTACAGACGTTTAAAGTATTGTTTACGTGACGTCACAATGTAGCGCCAAACAGCACGTGCAAAACAAACAAATCAAGTACGCTATTTTAATGTCGCAAACGTTTTAAGTTTTACATTTATTTCACTTTAAAAAATCTGTATTTCATTTGAAAAAATATAGAGTGAAATAAAATAAACAAAGTTTTATCAACGTTTTCAAAACTCGTTATTAATTTCACGACAGGGGCGGAGCCATATTTAACACAGTACGTGTGACGTCACACGCACTCGTCAATGCATTTGAAATAAAAATGAGCGATTATTTCATACTATTTCACGTAAAAAGTACATTGAGCTCGCTTTGAGGCTTTGCCTTTTTCATATTAGCGAGCTCGACGAGCTGGCCCGAAGGGCCTGCTCGCAAAGCGAGCTTTACGGTAACGCGAGTACCTGCTAAGTGATGGTTTTGAAAACTTTCGTCCAAAGTACCGAATTGGACACATCGCAACCTTTCGAATTAAAAGATAACGATAAAAACTTAGGAATTCTGACTGAAAACGGATGTCTAGACTGGTCACCCGCGCACGTCTATGGGAACCATAATTGGACAGGGAACCAGAATAACGGAAGCTGTGTATAAAATATCGAATGATAAAATGAAAATCGAAGGCGCCATTTTGTTTGAAATCTGATAAATAAAAACAATTTGTTGTCGAATTTTGTTGTGAAAACTATCTAGAATGAAAGAAAATGGTCTAACTAAGAACATGAATCCGAACACCAATATCTTTTATTCAGTCGTTAACGCTGTACAGACGTTTAAAGTATTGTTTACGTGACGTCACAATGTAGCGCCAAACAGCACGTGCAAAACAAACAAATCAAGTACGCTATTTTAATGTCGCAAACGTTTTAAGTTTTACATTTATTTCACTTTAAATAATCTTTATTTCGTTTGAAAAAGTATAGAGTGAAATAAAATAAACAAAGTTTTATCAACATTTTCAAAACTCGTTATTCATTTCACGACAGGGGCGGAGCCATATTTAACACAGTACGTGTGACGTCACACGCACTCGTCACTGCATTTTAAATAAAAATGATGAAGAATATAGATTTGATAAACGCGATGTCATTGGTAGATATTTTACGCACCTGTTGCCGTATATCGACGCAAATCGATTCATTTTACCCACGGTTGATTGTATGTTATATAACATGTTTATCAATCGTGGGTATCCCATGACGGGACTTGAACTCACACAGCCAGCAATCCTTAGATTATTACTAGTCCGAAGCGTTTGATAAAAAGTAATTTGTGTAAAACTGTAAACAATACTGCTCCTTTACACTGCTGGAACCGAGATGATTTAACCAGTATATAGCCAATATTAGTTAGTTTTCTGCCAATTAGTAGTTAAAATCCTAATTAGTCTATAATTTCTCCTAATACGACTTTGTAAGCCCCTTATTGAGCGTAACAAAATCCTATTAATGCCATCATAACTTCTAATTACCTTAAACCAGTTTACGAGTACGATGTTACAGGTCTGTCATCACTTCAGCAACCTGTCATCACTGGCGCCGGTATTACGGTGTGGAAATTACAATACAAGTCGGGACACTTTGGCTGTAATTCGAATATCCGAAGTTTAACGAAAAGGGCCGAGAAGATGCAATTATCAATTCAAATACCAAATTGATGTTTTTTCATCTTTAAAATTTTATTTTCAGCTCAGCTAGCAAGCTCGAATTGTATGAATTGTTCGCCATGTAAGGTGCAAATTTCAATAATTACGGTGTGGACATTACAATACAAGTCGGGACACTTTGGCTGTAATTCGAATATCCGAAGTTTAACGAAAAGGGCCGAGAAGATGCAATTATCAATTCAAATACCAAATTGATGTTTTTTCATCTTTAAAATTTTATTTTCAGCTCAGCTAGCAAGCTCGGATTGTATGGATTGTTCGCCATGTAAGGCAAACTCCTCACAGCGGTTACGTCACGCTTTGCTACTTTAACTGTACAGATCAGGGGAAGTAACCGCTGCGAGGAGTTTGCATGTAAGGTGCAAATTTCAATAAATACGGTGTGGAAATTACAATACAAGTCGGGACACTTTGGCTGTAATTCGAATATCCGAAGTTTAACGAAAAGGGCCGAGAAGATGCAATTATCAATTCAAATACCAAATTGATGTTTTTTCATCTTTAAAATTTTATTTTCAGCTCAGCTAGCAAGCTCGAATTGTATGGATTGTTCGCCATGTAAGGTGCAAATTTCAATAAATAATCAATCAACAAACTGTCCGGAGATGTGTAGGTCTAAAGGATCTGACCCCGACAGCGGTAAGTAAATATACATATATTATGTTTCTCTCCTAAGCTTATAGATGGGTATGAAAATGTGCAACCCGACAGGGATTCGAACCCAAGCCACTCAGAATCCCGTACCGCACCTCTACCGGCTAGCATACTACTCTAAACAACTCTATATGGTTACACATTTGAAATGTGTAATCTGGCCGGAACTTAATAAAGACTGAAATCTCTTGGAAATTTGTAGCAATGTGATTTTAAAAAAAATGTGTACTTGAAAACGTATTGGAAACCTCCATTTTATTTGTAGATATTTGTTTTTCAGAGACCGACTAGAATTAAAGAAGAAAAAAACACCTGACTTGCATGTTCCTAAGTAAAATATTTAGTCACTTGCATTTTACAATGTGCATCTAAAATGTAACAGGAGCCAACCTTTAGGATGTAGATTTTATTTCTTTTTTCTTGGGTGAGGAGGGACCCCCTTCCCCCTAGTTTGGTCATTTCAAACTTAAGCTCACCCCGCCGAAAATTTCAAGATCCGTACCTGCGAAATATGAACAAATGTGATAACTGTAGTTCTGTCTTTTGTATTACAGACTTTGTGAAACGCTGCAACTTGAAGTTCTTCTGCAGTATCAATAATTGTTATTGCTCGAGCCAGGCCTGTAACGGAAGTGCCCGGATGGGGAAGATTTCGGCATTCGCACTGATTCCGCTTATACTCGCCAGTTTTGCACTGAAACACTTTCTTTAACATTCCCTATAATAATTCTTAAATATGTCGTGTAAAATCAAGTTTATTCTGTCTCGTTTGATTAAGAACATTATTTATATATATACCTTGATTTATATCACATATTGTTTTATAAAAATGAGAAAATAAATTTGTTTTATATAAAGTATAGTCTTCTTAATGTGTTTCACAAGGTAATTGACCTGCACTGTCCGGGAATCGAACATAGGTCGTCTGATTCATAGTCCAACGCTCTACCAACTTAGTTCTACCAATCTTGCCTTGGTTAGGCATATCATAGACAATAGAATTTGAAGAACCATATATAGTTGTATCTAAGTTATATCTTCATGTTAAACTAGAGAATATAAATATCGTTTCTTAAAATAGAATGATGTTCATTTGAACACATATTTTATTTTGAAGTACTATTTTTAACAACTATGCTTCAATCTTCATTTCTTTTAAATTTCTGTCTCATGAATGCTATTTCATCTGTATTTTTCCGAGCCTTTTTCACCAATCGCTGACTAGATTGAGTTCAATGACCTTTTCCACAAAAGTGATGCCTTGTTAATACCTATTCAAAAACGAAATTTGTCTGCGTCATTTCTGAGCAACAAGTGTCTTGAATTCGCATGAATCCCATAGGAAGTTATTTTGCTAACATTGGCTGTGCAGTTTAGTGGCGATTTCAGGTTCCGTGATTCATGTACAACGTTATAGTTGACAATGATAGATTTGCAATGTGCAATAATCGTAACTCGGTCCAGTTTATTTTTTAGTTATCTCCTTTTTATATATCTGATTACGGCCCCTTGAACACTGGCACACTCTCCTGTATCTATTACAGGGGGTCGAACGTATAGCAGTGCGATACTCCTTTAAGCGAGGTGAAATCATGCGATACAGACTAATGGCCTACGAAAGCGAAAACGAAAGTGGGTATGAGCATGTTTGTTTTCAAATATTTGTTGTCTATACCCACTCGTTTTCGCTTTCGTCGGCCATTAGTCCGTATCGCATGATTTCACCTCGCTTAAAGGAGTATCGCACTGCTATACGTTCGACTCTGCTTTTGAGGGATGAAGACATGAAATGGAAGAATCAGCCACCATACTAAACAAGCCTGTCTCTAAATAAATTGAGGAATAACCAAGACATTTGCGTTGTAAGACAGGTTTTAATTCTAGATCTTCTAAAATAAAAAGATAAACACAGTACACTTGAAATAATCTGTGTAAAATAATTTACAAACCGTTCAGGTTCTCTTGTCATGATTATATTGAAACAGAAATGATATTTCTTCTTCAACTTATTGAAACTATATTCACAAACAAACAAAAACATATACCACATATTGTAAAGTTCTATTTTTCTGGACAAGTTTTATGTAAATATGGGAATTACAAGTCATAGTCATAGTACTTTCTATATACATTTTTTTCTTCTAAAACTAACAATATACATATGTACCTGCAAACTGTTCTTTAAACGGATGTCAAAAAATACATTTTAAAATTATAACATGGAGTCAGTCTACTGCTTTATTAACATGCAAATATATTATATTATGTGGTCTTATTTTAAGTAATCTAATTAACAAATAAAGAGACACACTCGTAATAATTATAAAAAATAATATGCATTAAAATAAGATGCTGACATATAATTACAAAATATGTGAATTTTATATAATTAATGATAAAAACTATATTTCGCCAGTTCTTCGTATAACTAACGTTTTCAGTGATACACCTTCCTAATTCCGTTAGCGGTTTTTCAGACTTCATAAAGGAAACACCTACATAGTCACAAATGTCACATACAAAAAAGAAGAGAAAAAAAAAAACACTAAAGAATGCTAAAAAACGACAAAATTGAAAAATGTTGCAGGCTTGGTTTGATTTAGCCTGTTCATGGACAGCATTGGAAAGTGCAGGGTACTGTCCACGCACCCTATTTCACAAGTTTTATTTCTCGTTTATGACAAATCAGTCACTTATCTTTAATGTATAAATCATGATTTTGTCACTTTCCAAACAAGAAACAAAAAGTCTTGAAGTTTTGTTATCAAAACATAAACAGGTAGGATTTTTTAAACCATCTTCTCTTATTGGGAGTTCTACCTGATCCTTCCCATCATGTGACATCAAAAGAAAATTGTGTGTCATAAAAAAAGCAACACAATACTGACTTTCATTTATCTTACAAATATAAAAGGGATCATGGAATATTTTTTTAACAAAAGTTCTTAGCCTCGTGCGTCGGTTTTCAACAATGTTAAGGATGCCTTTTTGCGTATCGATCACGAAAATCTCATTTGTAGTGTTTGAAATTGTAACATTTCCAGGATGTGTAATCTTATCATAATGAGATAAAACCAATTTCCCAGAAACAGTATATACCTCCAGATGACCAACACCTTCATCACGATCCTTGAATCCGCCACAACAAACATAAATCATCCCGTCATTGTATGCAATACCCCGACATCTATCGCCGACTTTGAAGGACTGTTGTAACTTCATTGGTTCTTTCTGAGAGATAAACTGAACTGTCTTATCATTCATCAGAGTAACGGCCAGCAGTGACGAGTCTATCTGACAAATACCAACAGGATTGTCAGTGACATTCAGCGAAGATATGATCTGGAAGGAATCATTCATTTTCTTTATACATTTATTGTTGTAATCTGTCATAATAATGCACCCGTCTTCACACATGCACATGCCAAAAATATTACATGACTCCTTGTCATCCTTAAGTCGCGCATTAAATTCAGCACATTTTTCTACTTCAATCATTGGAAAGTGAAGTATATTTCCAATGGTGTTGCATTCTGAATCAGTCGGTTGTCTGTATGGCTCAAACCGTATTGTGCCTGTTTTTCTTGACCTCTCCAACTCTTCTAAACTTTCGCCTGCAATTTTCTTCTCCTCGTTGACAAGTTTGATCTGTACATATTTCTCAGATTCGTTTTCCTGTTTAGCAGCATTTATCTTCTTCAGACTTTCTTGTAGTACAGCGATCCTCTCATCAACTTGCTTCATATTCGACTCTATATGTTTCAGTTTTATCTGAAATGTCATATCCACTTCTTGAAGAAGCTTCATTTCCATCATGTCCAAATAGTCGTTGATCTTCTTCCTTTCTGATTTTATTTCTTTAATCAATTGACGTTTTCCTGTCTTTGCATTTTCGAGTTCTTTCTGCTTGTTTTGTTTTAAGGCGTGAAAACGAGACTGTAAAGTATTTATATCGGCTTTAAGACGTTTTAGTTTCTTGGAGGTTTCAGTATTAAACGCTATGTCTGGTATGTAACTAATACCTTTGCAACCACTGCAATGAAATAGACATTAGAAATATGAAGCGCATAATGTTTATCTATGCTAGCACAAGTAGTTAAAATATTTGACGAGCCAAAGCGAGATTCTGAGATATTTTTGTTCTTGGTCAGAATCTCGCTTAGAGAGGAGATATTGCCTATACACAAAATAACACAATATCTTGAACTGTGAAGTACAATCAGTTGGACTACTAGTACATGTAGATACATGATCTACATGGTATAAACAAATCATTTATCAAATATACTTGTGTTGTATTTCTTCACAATATATCAATGTACAACACTACTTTAAAATTGTTTAAATCAGGTGTAAGATGTTACGAATTGATTATTATTATTTCAATCAGATATCAAAGCGACATAAAGACTTCTATTTTAATTACTATTTCCAATGAAATTCGCGGACTGTATAACATATTCCAAGCATTTGTTATAAACCAACAAAACAAAAAAAGAAACACAAACAAATAAAGTTTGCTTAGTTTTCTAATGTTAACTGGAGGTCTTCTTTTCATTAATTAATTCCTTTGTGTGATGGAATAAGAGAATCAAAATAATTTCTTAACTTTCTTGTGTATATTCTTGTATGTTTGTTCACTTGTCCATGAAAGGTAAACACCGATACTTTGAATGTTTACATATCTAAACCACTTGTCTTTTATTTATTACGAACTCACACAAATAATGCAATAATAAGTTAGTAATTTTAAATCGTAATATGAATAAATAATTTATTAAATAAAGGTTGAAAAAATATTTCCTTAATAATGCAGTGAAACCGAAAGAAAGGTTAAATTTCCAACCTGTGTTTAACGGTCATACACGTTGAGCAGCCAACCTTATCATGACCAGGACAGTAGACATCTATCAATTTTCCTCCGTGTCTCTCACATCTTTGACTTGGTAATTCCAGCTTTTTCCCGCTTGGTTGTTTTACCGTGGCTAGTAACTGATGTCCTCTCATTACTGAAAACTTATTGTGATCACCTAAACATTTTTGACACAAGTTTTCATCACATTCCACACAGTGTTTGATAGCAGCCACATTCTTTCTCTCTTTAGAACAAGGTGAACACGGAAACTCATGTTCTATATCCGATCCTTGGCTCAACGATTGGTTTAATTTACGACCGTCTACAGCCATTTTTTTCAGCTGAAGTTTTTAACTTCCTTGTTTCGTTGCTACCCGGTGTCGACATTTGCTGTATACGCGTGACTGATTTTCAAAAACATAAACCATACTACATTTATTTTTGTTTTGTTTAGATACTTTCATAAATTTACACAAGTAACGTTGAAATTAAATAACTGATTTAACGCTTAACGCAAGTGTTCTGAATAAGGATTTAATATTTCTTAAGGAAAAAATAACATTGATGAAGTTATTTATTTTTGGAGGACATATTAACTCAACAAGTTATTTACAAACTTGTCTAGATTCTTTTTGGATTGATCAAAATTATTGCGTATTTCTGTCATAAATTGATGTGGGTTTTGGTTGTATTTAACACTTACAGCTATTAACACCAATTGATATAGTAATAATGAAATAGTTCAAATTTTAACATTGGGAACTTCGTAGTTCTAAAAGTACAGAAACCTGTTTGTTCAATCTTTAAAAAAAGAAGAAGAAAAAAACCGTTTGTACTGATAAATTATGTAACTACATAATTACATTCTGTTTTGTTTTCTGATGTTTTGTATTCTGAAAGAAAAATAAACAATAATCTAAAAAGTGTTGTTATGATAAATGCATAATACATGTAAATCGAATACACTTTGCTTACATAATTTTCTTTCAAGGAAAACACGTCTATCTATCGGTTTATAATACGAAATGGCGACTGTGCTGAGCCTCGGTAATTTCATTATTTTAATATATTTTAATCCAACTAGACCTAACATATCATATGCCCGGTAACGTTCTTAACTCAATTCTATGGTGGCTGATTTGTGCCATTCGTGTTTTCGCCCCGCGATCCCGCCCCCCGCTAATTACACAGACACTTGTTTAGAAGCGAATATAAGGCAAACCTAAGAAGTGATTGACTGTACATAGGTGTTTTCGATAATCGTATTGCGTTATCTTAGCCTATTGCAATATCCGTCTTTTCCTTCAATCTTTGGTGCACAGAACGGTTACGGTATATTTCTGTTTAATCTAAACATGTATACAAAGTTAATTTCATTGTATTGTAGATGTACAAAAATCTGGAAAGTGATCCCTCGGAAGCATTAATCACAACAAAATTACATAAGAATTGCAGACTCGGTTTGACTGAGTCTGTAAATGAGGGATAATGAATAAGTGCAACATCCCTCACGCCCCCTAGCACCGTCTTGAGCGGTACTCAATTCTCAACACTTAATAGTGCTGGCATCAATGATCTCGAAGGACCAGAAAAATATAACAACACTGAAGTGAAGTACGGGGCAACTTTTTACAGCTGCCACACAGCACTTGACACCTGCTGTTGTGAAGTATAAAAATCTGGAAACAAAGTGATCCCTCGGAAGCATTAATCACAACAAAATTACATAAGAATTGCAGACTCGGTTTGATTGAGTCTGTACATGAGGGATAATGAATAAGTGCAACATCCCTCACGCCCACATGAACATATAACTTCGCCGTGGCCGAGGAATTTGCACGCTCGCTTAGGAATCGAGAGGTCTAGAGTTTAAATCCCAGTTAAGGCAACTCATTTTTTTAAATGTTTAAGTCAAATAAACATTGAATTAAATATCAGTGTTGCAATAAGTCTAATAGCCAATTTACTATAGTTATAACACTGGAAAGCATTGGTGGCACTATACAAAAACAAATTGGTTTATAATCTCACAACCGTCACCTTTCTGACATTCTGAGACCCAAACAAATTCAGCGCCTTCTGCGCTTTGATTATATTACAGTTTTCTCATTAAACTTCTCCATCTATACAATTCTACATCTTAATATATTATATTATTTTAAATGACCTTATTTTAAAGGGAACCTTGATGGCTGAGTGGTTAAGTTGTTTGATCTAATGTAACATTTCTATGCAGAGTATATTAAAAGTCAAGGGTTTTAGATTCCTTCATGTAAGGAAAAAAATAAATTGAACTGGATGTCACTTCTTCAACTTGTAGGTCCCTAGAATAATTTACTGACAGGCATTAAATAAAGTATTAATAACTAAAGCCCCAACGGTTACACGTTTAAACGGATTCGTTTCGATTTTCATTCGTAAACGGTTACGATATTTTTTACCCACGGTGATAGGGCGATTACCACAACTTTTCCGCGCAACGTCAAAATATCTTACTTCTGTCCGAGACACCGTATATTTCTGTGGTACAAAATGGACAGCAAGCCTGTAACCGAGACGAAAACAGCATATAATTTGCTCAAAACAAGGTAAAATCATCATTTTTTCTTTTACATCGAATGTGCCATTTAATTTGAAACTTATTTATCTTTACTACATGCAAAATGCTTCATTGATTAAGTCAGGATAGTGAAAACATTTAGGGCATACTGAAAAAAATCTTGCTTTGATTACGAAATATAACGTATTTCTAGTCCGTTCAGTTCATATAACTGGTCAAAATACAATATAAATAAGTACATTTTTGTCGTATGAACAAGTTACAATACATAAATAACCCGTTTTTTGTATATTTGGTATGATTTTTATGTTTCCACGTGTGTATTTTAAGGCACCGCACAACTTTGTCAATCATAAGATTAGGGCACCGCATTATTCCTCCTTAAAATCACCGCATTTTTCAGTCTTTTTAGCACCGTTGATTTTATATATTAATGTTTGCTTTCAGAAAAAGAAGACGTTCAAACCTATGTCTGAAAAAGCCAAAGCAACGTGCGAAATTGGCAAAGCTGCAGATACTGCAGCAACTGGAGAGCGCCCAACTAAGTCTTCTGATATCAGCAGTACGCCAATGGATCAGCGCCTCCCTGTATTTCAGGACGATATGCGTAACGCACCACATAAGAAAAAGAATATGAAGTCAAACTTTCGCAAAAGATTGTTTAAAAAAGCACATTGGAGACGATGACTGAAGAGATTATGGAAATATTGCCCGGGTTCCTGCAAAAACTACACCATGAAAATTTGTGTTATGACTTTTGCAACTTTATCAAATTAGTATGCAATAAGAAATTCCCATTAACAAATAGTTCATTCCTTTTGTTTCACGATGTAGTTTGATGGTATAGTCTGCCAAGAACTTCAATCTTTCCATGTGGGGTTTATCAGTTTGAATAAGTTCGAAAAGGAAAAGACATCCTTATCTATATATAGATACCATTGCACTTATCTAACTGGTAGTATTAACACAGATCCATAACATAACGTATGATATAACAGCAACATAACATAACAGCAAGTAAACAATCTTTCATCAAACTTTCATCAAATAAAAGTTATTATAAAACATATTTGTAAGATTATTGTATAATTCAAAAGAAGACGGTTCCAGTATTTATCGGTCTAACGGAAAAAGAATGCGGTGTTTGAATTCAGTGTTGTACGGTGCTCCAATATTCGGGTCAGTAGGCCTTTTTTCAACAAATATTCCCTGAAATTTACGATAGAAACACACAATTTTGTATGGAACTTGAACTTAGGGTTAACCATAATAAATATACGAGCTCGTTAGGTCATAGAACAAAGACATCGTCGTTATAACACATGTTTTTGTGACAAGTACGAGTCATGTTGAGGTACACACGATCTTTTGTAAACACTATTTCTTCGAAGTATGTGTTTTTGTGTGAATTGTATTGTGCTAGATTAACAATGAATTGTCTCAAAAATTCGATGGAATACTAAACAATTGGAATAATCTTGCAATGTCCAGCAGTAAGATATTTTGTAAGCTATTACCTGGAATTTGTTTATCCCGCCATTAATATTTTGTCCAGAAATATACGGTGTCTCGGTCAGAAGGACGATATTTTGACGTTGCGCGGAAAAGTTGTGGTAATCGCCCTATCACCGTGTTACCGTTCAATCGAAATAACCATATTCATTGAAGCTTATGTCTTCACCTAGTTTTTATCAAAGACTTGTACGATTTCTTTGTTTTAATGAAAACAGTTAGAGCTGGCTTGGGGAAAATGATCATTTGGAAAACTTTTAAAAGGAGAAAATTATGTTGTCAATCAAAATATTTACTTGATATAACTGTAAGCATCAAAGAAATGTATACAAAAATATTGCACACAAATTCAAGCTGTTTAATTTCTTAAAAAAGTCATAAAAGCACGACAACTGACCGAGTTCTTGGTACCGTATCATGGGTCCGCACCGAAAATTGTGGCACCGTATACATTTGCGCTAGACTTGCACCGCATCATGATGATTAATCTAATGGTGAATAATCTTATTTGTATTTAATTATTGTTGCCCATCTGGGCGAAGCATGTAGATGTATATTAATTATTTACAAACCAGAGGAAAATGCATAAATACTAGTCAGTTCTAGAGGCAAACCTGGTTTTTTGTGTGTCCGGCGTAAACACATGGGACTCGGTCACATTCGAAATAATCTGAGTATTTACTTTATTATTAAGATCGGTTCGATTAGGACAACCTGATTGCAAATTGCTGACTTTATTGTGCATGTAAAGAAGCAAGTTTATAGTGAAAAAAAAAAAAATATATATATATATATATCCCTGATTTAACTGAAACCTTTTTTATTTTATTTTTGACCGCATTACTAGAACTGTTTCACATAGAGACGTTATTTTTTTAATCTTTCAAAAAAACAAAAACATTGTCTTCCATTTTACTGTGATAGTTAATAAAAAATTTGTGTAAAATGTCAAATTTGTTAATGTTACTAACGAAATAAAGGATTTATTTTATCATAAGAATTTCTTTGTTGTTATATCCCTGTACAGTAAAAATGTATAGTTGAAAAAGGTGTACCAGACAAATTCGGTTTAATACTGTAAGTGGTATTTCTGATATCATTATAGACATGGTATTTTTGATATCATTATGGACGTACACAATGTCCTATTATTAGCTCGTCTGTTTATCATTTTGGACTTACACAATGTCCTATTAGTGTCCAACTTTATTTGTCATCCAATGGAATCGCTGCATTTCTTCAAAATTGCGAGTGTTATATAAAGTCGATACGTCGCTGTCGCTCCCG